AAAATCCCCTATATCTCGCTTAATATGCATTTTTTCCTAATTTTGGCAACGTACGTAATTAGAGGAACTCTTCAGCTTTCAAACAAGCTAAAGTAAACCAAAATCGGTCCATTAGTACGGAAACGCCAATTGTTTTAGTCAAACTTGCTTTACTGAGAAGTTTGGAAATGGCGTTTAGCGCCTTTTCGCATAAATACGTCCAATATACCTAGGTACTCTACGTAATTGTAACGAAAAGCCGAACATAAATATACGCTACCTTCTCTTTCCGTGATTTAGAAACCATCCGTGAAAACAGGAAACCGAATATTTTCAAGCAAATGAACAAATGTCTCAGAAAATAGAAAAATAGACGATTGGAGGGGATCAGCAAGACACAGAGAAGATGGAGAATGTATTCAAAGCTGCGAACATTACAAACAGTGGAAACACAAGGATGAAAAACGGGAAACAAGGCTAAAAATATTTTATACTATTTTATATTTTATATTTTTAGCCTTGTTTCCCGTTTTTCATCCTTGTTTTTCCACTGTTATCATTGTCTTGGGCTGCTCTTAGAAATTTGTACCTATGAACATTACAAATATCTAGGAGTTCGAGTATCCTAGGATGGAAAGATAGACCAAGCCACAAAAGATCGGGAGGTTGTAAATTCCGCCGATTTTATTTTTCTGGAGTGTAAATTCCGCCGATTTATCATTCCCCCGATTTGTGAATTCCGCCGATATGACGTCCACCCAAAATGTAAATTCCGCCGGTCAATGTTTTTGAAACAGGATTTGTAAGTAGTGCAAATTTGCTTACCTCTATGTCTATGAGTTGAAGTCGGAGAGGAGAGCGTAGAAAATAAACATTTAGGGTGTAGAGAGCCCCACGTCAAAAAATAAAACAAAAAAAAAGACCCATGTCGTAAGAAGACCAACAGTTTTTCACTTTTTCACTGTGCTGAAACGGTATGAAACTATTTTAACAAATTTGAAACGGTCTTGGTGAATGTTAAATTTCATAATTGCATTGTCTACGTGTGCTTTTTGCCTTTTGACGTCTGACCGAAGCTTGGCTGGAGACCCGACACTTTGAATCTGGACGTACACTTCCAATTGGTAGGCGAGTAAAGCTTCAACGAACATTTTTATATTAGGGTGGCCGGAATAAAAGTACTCCCTGAATTTGCTATGAAAAGATTCACAAGCGTTGATCGTTAGCGTTGTGTCGGAGGTGTGAAATGCCCACATTTGAGGCGGAAACAAACTGTCGCTAGCAATGTAATTTTCGCACAGATAATCAGCAAACGCACGACACTTCTCGTTGTCTGGTTGAGACGCAATAAAATCATCAGTGAACGAATCATCAACATCATCAGGGTCCAAGTATATCAGGCCGAAAAAATGATGGAGCCAAAGACCGATTTCGGATTTTTCATCGTTAAATAATATATAATAAGAAATAAATTTCATAAATCACAATAATAAATTTCCCCTTCTCACTTGTCATAACGGACACTCTCGATCGGCTCCATCTTTTCCGCTACTGAAGTCAGAGTTCATGTATGTACATTCCGCGTTCCGTCCCAAACCATCCGCTATCAGTTTTACTGATATCATCAAAGTGCAACTCCTCGGCTTCGAGCGCAGATCTACCTTCAAACAGATAACATCTTAACTTGATGCTCTTGCCGAATATGAGTGCCGTTCCAAAAACATTTTCCTTTTCCTCCATCGGCGGAATTTACACTTGCTCGGTGGCACCTATCGGCGGAATTTACATTTTCGGTGGATGGAAAATCGGCGGAATTTACCCATTTTCGGCGGAATTTACTAGCGCCCAAAAGATCGAAACCTGCAGGGAAGGAAAGCTATTGCAATATATGTTAAATAGGATTCTTTGGGATCAAAGTATCTCCAAAGAAGAAAAAAATTGTTTTATAACACCATAATCAAAAGCACTGTGACCTACGGCAGTGAAGTGTGTCCCATGAAGGATCGCACCAAAGAGATTCTTAAGGCAACTGAGATGGATTTCTGGCAAAGATCAGCCGGAATCTCGAGGTGGGATCACGTAAGGAACGAAAGAGTCCGTGGGATCATGAACGTCGAGCAGAACATCGTGCATAAAATTATAACCAAACAGCTTGTCTGGTATGGTCATGTTCAACGAATGGCAGATGACAGATTGCCTAAGGAGGTACTTGATTGGGTTCCTCCCGGGAGGAGACATAGAAGACGTCCAGCAAAATCGTGGATAGGTGGCATTCAAGATGAAATTACAAGATGACATTTACCGGATGACCTCTGGGTCGATAGACAAGAGTGGCGATTAGGTGTCGCAGAGCGCCCGGGCGTGCTATAATAGCGACATGAATGTATATAGAACTCATACATGAATGATTTAATGAGTAATGAATTTATTTGTTATCTAAATTGCATTCTGCAAAAAGGAACCAGGAGAGTTCCAATGTTGCTAAGATTGTGCAACTTTCTTTGCCCTGCAAACAGTGGCGTGGCGTGCTTTGCGATGTATCGATTGTTCTGCCATTCAACCAGGTAAATAATCGATTATTAAGGTGTTCGCTGCGAACACCCTGATTATCGATCCTTTTCCATAGGTTTAAATGGCATAACAATCGATATATCGCAAAGCACGCCACACCACTGCCTTCAAATATAAACTGATCATCAATACAAATATTATCTTTACTATCAATAAACTATGAATTCAAAACGAAAATTCCATTTGCAAATTTGATGGTTTTCATTATTTCAGTAGTTTTATTGCAAAGAATGTATGTTCCACAATCCTAGCAACATTGGAATGCTCCTGGGGTTCCTTTGTGCAAAATGCAATCCATTTGTCAATGTGATACTTTTGATCGGAATTTTCATTTTTGAACACATTAAATAGTGAGTTTCTGTTTGTTTTAAAAGCAACGGCTTTGTTGAAAGTGAAAATTCAACGGAAATTGAAAGAAGTATTCAAAAGTTGCATTTGAAATAAAAATCCAGATGAAATTAAGAAGATGGTGTATCAGTAGTCGTGCAATTTTCTTATTTTAAAGCGGTGCCACGGCCATTTCCGGTGATTCGTAAATAAAAGAAAGCTATCAAAATATTTGCATTATCTATTATGTCTCTGCCTATACTAACCTTAAGTTTGAGGAGTTTTACAATATAAAGCTATTTTTCTTACGTTTTGTATGCTTATTTAATGTTAATTTTCTATTTTTGCAGCTTTTTCACAACCGAAGGATATGCAAGCCCTAAGAAAACTCTTAAGTATTACGGTAAAGAGACTCGCCCTGGTGCCCACTTCCCTTTCAATTTTCTTTTGCTGAAGAAACTTAAATCTGAAACAAATGCTAAGTCTCTCAATGAAACAATTGTTGACTACTTATCCAGTTTGAAAAGTCATCAATATCCCAACTGGGTGGTGAGCTGCTATATTTTAAACATACTTCTCTCCGTCATGAAATTTAAAGTAACTAATCAGGTGCTTCTTTTGTCTTACTTTGCAATTAAAAGGTGCAAATTGACTTCTTAAAATTTCAATCAATCTAACAGTTCTTTTCTGGTTCAAGAAAAAGGCAGGTAAATAACCAAGGTACAGCTATGATTCATGGCGCTCGTTGATGACGGCAAAGAGTTACATAACTATTCATGCTTGATGGATGATCGTTTTGCATCCGCGAAATTGAAGACGTTATGGCGCGAGGCGTAAACTCGCAATGCACCGCTCTATGCTGCGAATGAGGTGTCACTCGAAATCAAGGGAAATGTTAAAGAACAAGACGCGGATACGTTACTCCTATCCTCCGATGTGTCGCTCACATAGCCCTTGGAGCACCACTACAAATAAGACAAATAGAACCAATACGAAATGGAAATAGTGCGAGGGAAAGAACGCACGTTGATGACGGCGCATAGATACAACTATTCGTACTTGATGGATGTCCAGGTTGCATCTGTAGAATTAAAGGCGCAGTGCTGCAAGGCGTGAACTAGCTAGCAATGCTCCGTGCTTTTTAAAAGTGTTATAAATAACTGTAAGAAGGGACTTACAATTGAGTTATTCGAGGAGGCAGCATTTGATCGGATGGAGACAAAACTTCTGACATTTTTAGTGTCTTTCCTAAAATTAATCAAAACTGACCAAAATCCATTAATTAAAGTCGATTCAAATGCAGGACGGGGAATGAAGGGTCTGTTGCAAGTTTTTTTTCCAGAGCATAAGAAGAGCAGGCCCGCCACAAGGGGGGGGGGATACTGGGTCCTTGGTACCGGGGCCCGGGCCCTGGAGGGGCCCGTGACGCAGGTGACAAACCACTACGAATTCATGTGTAACCCTTCTCTCGTAGGGAAAAGTGAAAAAAATACCCTAAAAATTCCGCAAAAGGTGAATTAAGTTTCAAAAACACGCTAGGGCACTATAAAATTTTTCTTACTTTTTTAGAGATTTTCAAGATTTTGAGTATATGTAGAATGATATTTTTAGTAACTGTGTTTCATTTTCTTCCGTTGTCGGATGCTAAGAGGCTCCTTTCTGGGCATCCTCGACTTCAATGGCTTAACTCCCTTGCCATAGACGTACGAGAGGGGAGTCCAGGGGGGCCCGGCTCCCCATAGAATTGAAAATTATCATCTATGTCCCCTCAAAAAAAAATTTATAGATGTTTTGAATGCAACAATTCGAAAGTTTTTGGTGCTGAAAGTAAACAACAAAAAGGCGTAATTATTCTGCAGAAATTGATGGAAAATCTCCATCATAAGAGCTTCATAATGCGTCCAAATAGATTTAAAATTTCAAAAATTTCCCGGGTGAGGCCCCCCGGACCCCCCCCCCCCTGTGCTAGGGGCCCGGGCCAGAAAATTGGTACCAGGGCCCGAGATGGGATGTGGCGGGCCTGAAGAAGAGTCTCCTCTTTTTGAAAATTAATTACACAGGTTGTAAAATTCACTAGTCGTGATTTTTAAGCCATTTTTACTAATAAATAACTATATGCATACTTTTTGCTCAAGCGAGAGTTGGCAACAAACCTGTTGCCCCCCTACTCTCTTCGATTATGTAGCATCGCGTCCATGATATTGGACTCCATGCTCACCCTTGATATACTTGCCTGCTCATCTCGTCCAAGATCTTGGACTCCATGCTCATCGCCAAACTTTTCATTTCTTTGCTTGAGCATGGAGTCCAATAGCAAGTAGACCGTTCTTAGTTTTAATGTTCATCATGATAGAAAATCGTATACTTTTTTGTATCTAATCTAACTAACCTAACCTAACCTAACTCAACCTAAACAATGCCCAATTTTTTACGAAAACACTTTTTTACGTCTTTATTTCACAAAAATTGTCTCAATAAATTTTTGGACCATACGCTCGTGTATTGTCAGAGAATACCTGCATCCCACAATTTTGGACGTTATGCTCACTTCGATTTTACTGAAAAATTATCCCTCATTAAAGTGATCATGGAGTCCAAGATCTTGGACGTGATGAGCAACCGAACATTATATCGGTGATCGTGGAGTCCAATATCATGGACGCGATGCTACATTACCCTCTCTTAAAATGAGACCTCTTTGTGTTTTCCTCTCTGTTAGTCCGGAAACCACGACTGGCCGAGGATTCCCTCCCGAATGGGAGCGTCCTCAAGCGTTGATCTTCTGAACATGCTTAACCTCTTGCTCCCGGGCACGTCCACCGTCTACATGGGTGATGAAATCGGCATGGATAGCTACTGGAACTTGGACAAGAATCAGTGTCCTGACGACGTTGGCGAAGATTATCGAACCCCCGGTAGAACTCCATTCCATTGGGATACTTCCAGAAACGCAGGTATATACATTGTCAGTTTCTTACGTCGAATCTTCCTGATTATTTTCATTAAATTTAATGAAATTACCCGCATGAAACCAGAGTCTGCTGCCACGGTTTGTGGCTCAGTAAATCGTAGCCGGCCGACAGCAACTTATTTTCAGAATGTAAGGTTCGTGTGAGTCGTAAAGTTGTGTGTAAAGTTGAATGTAAAGTTGTGTGTTGAGAGCAGTGGAGGTTAGGAGTCGTAGAGCGCGAGGGAGTGCTGTAAAGCGACTTATATGTACGTATGTATGTAGAGTTTGTGTCCGTCACGTTCAGTCGATGCTATCAATTAAGATTATCAATTAATCTTATCAATTACAATTTAATGAGCTTACTTACTGGTGGGTTTCAGGATTTACGACAGCTCAGAAACCGTGGATTCCAGTCAACCCTGAATATTACTACACAAACGTTCAGTCCGAAAGACAAGCAAGAGGCCCGTCTCACTTACGGAATTTCAAAACTATGGTTAGGTTGAAATCTACCCCCGCTTTTACCCAAGGAGAGATGAACTCTTACGTGATTAACAAGCGGGTCTATGCTTTCACCAGGTAAGGCAACTCGAGTTGCAGGACAACATTGCATATTTGCATTTAATGCTCAACATTTTCTGTTCTTAAAAACATGCTGACGATTTGTTCATTTTTTTTACTCAGTTCTCATTTTTATGATGACATAGTGAATTCCCATGGAAGCTGAAAGTGTTTCGGATGAGATTAGTTCCGTCCCGTAATGGGCCTGTTGCATGCAAGAGATACAGCCGTGCGAATAGACTTTTTAGAGGTTAAATGACACGAAAATTACGATGGTCACATTAAAAAAGTCTGAAATACACTCCTTACTGCGCAATTTGCGTTGTTAGGAACGCGCTTTTTCAAATTTCCCTCGTCTGGGGGCAGTTTTCTAACGGCAACTCGCGGCTATTTCCGGTCAACTAAAACTGACAACATAACCTAAAAATCGGAGCTCGTGATATCGTGAAATGAAATGTAGAAGGATTGCGTTGGATGTTTAAAAGTTGATCGATTTGGTTACCGCATAAAGCGTACATGGACCACTATAAGAGATCACGTTGGGTTTGTAAACAAACTGAAGGAAAAAATAACAACAACAACAACGACTCGGCATCTTCTGGAAATCACCGAGCCCGCCGTTTGCTCGTTTCCGGTGATTAGAAAACTGCCCCCAGACGCGGGAAATTTGAAAAAGCGCGTTCCTAACAACGCAAATTGCGCAGTAAGGAGTGTATTTCAGACTTTTTTAATGAGACCATCGTAATTTTCGTGTCATTAAACCCCTAAAAAGTCTATTCGCGCGGCTGTATCTCTTGCATGCAACGGGCCCTTTACAGTCCTTCTATGCACGGAATAAAGAGTACGGTGTTCTTGGATGGCCATTTTCAATCAGTGTGGTAGTACCCCGATACATTGGGTTACTGACCCAAATGTTGCGGTAATACCACAATTGGAAATGTCCATATCATTCAAGAAATTGAGATAGAGCCACAATTTTAGGGTATCATCCCGAACACTTTTTTTCGTGTAGTAAAAGAAGGCGAAAGTGAATGTGGGTAATTATAATTGCAAGTTTCCAGAGAATGAATCTCAAATGGATAATCTGCGACTTAGTCTAAGCTCTTTTTAATTACAAAAAAAAACTTAATACTTATTAAAATATTATTGATTATCCTTGTTTCATAAAACAAATTTGTATTTATTTTACAGAAAAAACCGAAGAATTATCTATCTAATCATAATGAATTTAGGAAAGTCATTCAGCGAACCGTTTGATGTGAGTGAGCATATTGAAGGTATCGGTATAAATAATGCTATCGGCGTGAAGGTGCTCAGCGTAAACTTAGGAGAACTCGGCGATAAGTAAGTGAATTTCTATTTCTTTTCCCCTCTTTAACTCAGCATGGGAGAGTTACCACTGGTAAATTGTATTTTGACTTAATAACTATTGGTTATTTTTTGTGACAAGTTCATTAACTTTCCTACTGATGCCACTTAAAAACCAGACACATTTTGGAATAAAAACTGCGAGGTCATAATTCTTGTGAATTACTGGGTAGTTTGAGTCAATTTTGCGACCATGGATGTAGAGCCACATTCTTTCGTCTCATACTGCTGTGCTAAGGAAAAACGCTGTATGAACATTCGAGAGATGCCGAATTCCCCTTGATAAAACATGTATTTTTGACGACATTCATGCACATTTTTCCTCGAAATTTCCAGATATTTTAAATTAAATTGCGTACAAAATTGTCGGAAAATTTTGGAAAATGATATTCACAATTTTCTCAGTAATTTCGGTTTTTATTGGAGGGGACTTGGCAACGTTGGAAGGCTCATACGGCGTTTTTCCTTAGCACGGCAGCATAGACAACAGTTTTACCATCGTATTAAACTACAATTTATAATCGTGTGTGCGTTATGAGTCGTCATTGTTCAAGCAATTAATATTACTTCCGGTTGTAAACTAAGAAGTTTATTTTTAGACCTTACGTCATTATTTTACTACTTCATTATTCTTATTTTTATAAGGAAACCTCAAAAAAAGTGATACAAACTATAAATTGGACTATTTTTCTCTTGTATTCTTCTTCTCAGTTCTCGTTATTCGTTATAATATCTCTTGTTGGAGATATCTTCTCTTAAAGATATCTTAAAGATTTCTCGTCTCTTTTTCTTATTCGTTATTCTCTATACTTTTTAGATGGAGCCTTATATCAAATTTGTTTTCGAACGATTGGAACATGCCGCCAAAATCAGGAATGGTCGTGACTTTCAGGTATGATATGATATGGGAATCAAATTGTGTTTCTCGTGAGAACTCTCCATATGTGAAAGACGCTTACGAGGAGAGGAGCGCATTTCAGAGTTTAGATTTTTTACATTTTCCCAAGATAAAAGTGAGACACCAAGAATGAAGTTAGAAATAGAGGAAGACAGAAAAATACTTACATTTTTTTCACTGCTATTTATTCAAGATTGCGGCATTACTTCAAGCCAGCAAGTGTACAGTACAGGATTCGATTGATCAGATACTTTTGTCATCGTGAATTCTCTGTTAGTTACGGAAAACTCAAATTCTCAATTACATTGGGTCAAGAATCAGGTCTTCTTGTCTTCGTTTCCTCTTATTCACGCCTTTGCAACACTACCTTAAGTGCCTCAGGCAGTTCAAAAAATAACTGTACAAAAAGCTAAGCAGATAAAAACTGTATGAAAGATGGCTTAATGATGTGTCACAGAAATTACATGACGGCTGTAACCGTTCTGGTCATGAATCGAAGGTCCCGCTATTTTAAGAGGTGCAACGCTAAAACTGACAGCTAGATACATCTATTCGTACTCGGGGGATGGCTGTGTTGCATATGCACAAACCTGAAGGCGTTTTGCTTTTCTTGCTATACTGGTAACTATGTAGTGCGCATATTTACATTGATATTAAGTTCAAAATTTGCTTCCGCTCAGTTTTGGAGCATCTGGATTGAAAAGTTGGTAAAATAACACGCCTCTCGGTTCACGACGATATAGATTTTTTTTCGTATTTTAATATGAAACAAAAAATAATAATGATATGATCAAAAAATATTAAAAATAATACGGCAAGGCGATAGTAAACGACTGATTACCAATATTTTACAGTATTTTATGTAATCCCTCAATGCTTTCGCAGAATACCTTTAAAAAAAATTTCGTAATGCTAAAATGATATTCTTTTTAACAAAAAGTAGTAAATGGGAAGTATCAAGATATTAAAACATTAAAACCTACCACTACTAATGAGGCGTCAAATGTTAGAGACATTCGTTGCTTTTTGTTACTTCATCGCATCAATTAATGTTTTCATTTGAATTAAATGTGATAAAAAAAAATGAGTTGGGCATACTGATATGCTCAGAACTTTTAATGGATATCTGACGTTCTCATAATATTTTTGTTGTCATGTTTGCAGGGTAAGTTATCGGAATACCTGCAAGTGCTCGGCTGATTGGACCTTTACCTTTCTGGATGTCACAAAGAAATTTATGAATTGGTTGATATTCCATTCACTCTCTCGAAAGTAGTTATTAGTCATTGTAAAAATGCAATGATGAAATTGTTTCACTCTTCATGGAAATTCTCTTCCCCAATCTCATGTGTCTGGCGGTGCAACATAATCACTGAATTAAGCTAATTTAAAAGAACTTGATCTATGAGGAAATTCACGGGTGCACACATTTAGTGCAGTAAATTTGGCAAGATCTCTGTGGCATTCATGAAACTCAGTTATCTAGCTTTTGAGCACCATCAAATACTCAAAGAACGTGTGATTTATATATTAAAGTTTCAAAATAATTGTTTATGTGAGTAAATTATAAACAAGGAAAAATGTAAAATAAAATCATCAAGTTAATCATCAAGATTTTTGTGTGTCAAACTCCATGTATTTTCCTCAATTCCTGCAGGTGCATTAAGCAATGTATCAGAATAAGCCAAATTATTGTGAGACGAGAGCAACCGTTGAAGATTGGGAAAAAAAGAAGAAAAAATTCAAGTAATTCTATCGATTTTAAATTCTAACCACATTTTTTTTTTACTATTTTGCAGTTTAAGCATATCATTTGGCAATTTTGTGTACTTTCCAATCTATGGGCCTGTTGCAAACTTTTGCTAGAGCAAAAATAAGAGTCGTCACTCACAGAAAGTGTCTCAAAAATCACGATGAGTGCATCGGCAAAGTCTGAAATGCACAGTTCCTTCCCTCACAATTTGCGTATGAAATTTGCGTTTTTTCGAGCTTCCCGCTTCAAAAACGATACCACGCGATATACAGGTGAACATTTCGTTAGAGGAGTCATTCCATCCAACCCCTACTCACAAGGATACCACGCAATATTCAATATGGCCGACGCCAATCCGCTAAAACACATGTGACGAGACGATGATTCTAACCACCTCATAACAATCGGTGTGTTTACATTTACATTTTTCTCGCGTTGACCGCAATCACACGCTGAATGTGGGAGCTGAATGTGGCTTGAATGTGGAAGTCATCGGCCCGATGCCTGAATTTTGCGCGTGACGCGCAAAATTCAGCAACGATTCTCAGCATCCATCGGACCAATTTTGAATTTGTCTGAACTATTCGAGTAGATTTGATACACATCTGGATGAAAGTAAGTCAAATTTGCTAAATTTCAACCGTTGGGCGATGACTGTTGACTTCCACATTCAGGTGCTAAATTCAGCGTCTGATTGCGGCATTAGTTAGATATCCGCCTTGATGGAATCGTGCTCTCCTCAACTTGCACGTGGAAGCGTCGGCCATGTTGAGAATGGATTGAATGGAACGTGGTCACCTGGACTGTAGTATCCTTTTTAAAGCGGTAATCTTAATACAACGCAAATTTCATGTGCATACATTGAAGTTAGCAGAGCATTTCAAAGTTTGCCGATGCGCTCATCGTGATTTTTGATACATTATCCGTAAGGAACAACTCTTATTTTTGCTCCACCAAAGTTTCGCAACAGGCTTATTTATGTTCAAAAAAAGTACTTGCACAAACCATGCATTGATGACTCATGCATTGGCACACAGGTGGATGAAGAACCATGACGAACAGAGAGTTGGTGAGAAATGGAAGCAAATATACGGGGTCGTGGCTTTTTCTTTCTTTCTCAAAAACGCGTATCCCGGTTGCGATGTTTCGAAATCTCTGCTACTATTTTATTTTATAAAAAAAGACCAAACAACATCATAGCTTGAAAAATTTACAGAATATTCTTTATAAAGGGAGGAATAATCACTAAAATTATCAAAAAATAACGTTTAGCAGTTTTCCTTGTAGAAAATAAAGAATGACAGGAAATCTGCGACGCCGCAAACCGAGATTCGCATTTCTGCATTTTTAAAATTGAAATGTTCCTTCCAATAAAAGCCAAAAATAGCGGTATTTTGCTTCAAAATGAAGCAATCTTACAAAGATTTTCTGGATCTTTGTCAAAAAAAAAAAAAATAAATAAAGTAAAATAAACCTTTTTCGTGGAAAAATGAATTTAAGAGGCAGATAATAATGCTAACATAATACTGCACTCTTGGTTTTTGGAAACATGTTTGTAATTGTAGTGCTGTAAGTTTTGGGAGTGGCTAGTTGATACTAAAACTTTCCCAAGGGATCTTGAGCTGACTATGAATCCAGTAAAATCAGTAGACTCCAAAGATCAAAAGCTTTGCTGCTGACGAACTAAAAGCTCTAGCTAGAATGATAACCCTGGGATAACGAGTTGCAGTGCCGGACGCAGCAAGAACGTGCAATTCGAGTCAGGTCGCAGGCTATCTGTGTGTATTGAAAACGTCCAATCACTGGCGAGAGATATTGCGAATCAAATATATTGTGTCAGATCGAGTGACTCGGAATCATAGAGTACACGGAGTCATAATATAATGAAGTGAGCTGGGGCCATGTTCTGGTCGTCGAGTTATGAGCCTGGTGTGCGTCGAGATTCGGTCACCTTTTCGATACATTTTCGATCTAGCATGGCAATGCATAATTCGTAATAATTCATTTCCTCTTTGTTTGTATCGGATAGATGGGTACTCATGTATCGAAACGATCGATAATGTATCGAAACAGTGACCCGGCACCATGCAGGAGTAATGAAATTCGGTGGCTGGGAAATGCTTAAATGTTGCGCAAGGTCCTCCATTCTTTTTACGACTCTAGGTTATCTGTGCTCGAAATTGAAAGAGCACAGCTATAGCGGTGGAAACGCGAAATTATTGCGACGAAACCTTGTCATACCGCGCCCGCGCCGGTAATGTCAGCAGGAGAACATGTGTATAACGTGTGGTCTGTTGGACAATTCTGGGCGATGTCGTATCCGCAAATACCTAGATATGATATAGGTGACGAACATTTTCTAAAATAATATCTAAATGAATCATTATAATGAGAGATGCGTGGATTTACCATTCAATGAAAAATTCAGCCTTTAAATTCGTCCAAAGGCAGGCGTTTTTTTAACCAATCAAAAGCCCATGGTTACAAGGAAAGGAGCAAGATGTAATGTCAAAAATGCTTGCCAACATGAAATATGGAGTTGCCCCTTGAAGTAAACCACTGGTTGTTTTTAATTGGACCACTAGATAAGGTACGAATTTCAGCATTCTGATACATGTTTCTTGACCAAAATTTTACGTAAAACACGATGCACACAACAAATTACCGAAATTAACTCCTTACGAAGATATTTAATGATTCTTAATGCGTGAATTCAAACCACCCGCTCATGAAAACTCAATGGTCTACGTGATTCACATCGCGCGCTAAACGGTATCATGACAGTCTCTGCGATATAAAAATGTGGCAACCTCAATCTTGACGCTTTGGCTCAGTTATAGCAAATTGCTAATAGTTTGAACAACACATGATGGGAAATGAACATTGCTCGATTGAGAAGCTTGCTGAAATCGTTGTAGTGGGCGATTTAACTCACGTAGAATTTTGAGTTTCTTGTGAGCGGGCAGTTCAAACTCCTCGTAACCAATGTGAAATAAAAACGTTAATATCTTCGTTAGGAGTTGGTTTCCGTAATTTTCGTTGTGTGAATCGTTTTCTACATGAAATTCTGGTTAAGAAACATGTATCAGATCGCTTAAATTCGTACCTTGTCTAGTGGTCCTTTGCCGTTGCCTAAGACTGAACGCGTGAAATTAATCTTCGGGCCTCGAATGTTATTGGAGGGATTTGGTTTATTCTTTTGATCAATAGCCTGATCAAAAAAATGAATCGAATGAGCCCGACTGAGAATTATCATATATCGGGCACCTGATGGGATGGGACTGCTTTTAAAAAGGTCGGCAAAATTCATCAAAATTTGAAGGTCATACTCCAAAAAGCTCATTTTCGACACGTCTAGTGGTAATCTATGGAAAAATCCTCCTACTGTAGCAAAAAGCTTACGTCAGTTCCCCTCGTTAAAAATTAAATCTACAGAAATGCAAAAAATGGAAGGTCAATGATCAAGGCCGTGAGGCGGCGTTTTTTCGTGCATTTACCACTTACATTACCAAAAAGGATAATTTTTTCTTAAAAAAGGAGAGCTTCTTGGGAGTAAGTGTTGATTAATGCACTTGCGTCAGACTTACTTCACGTGTTCAGTTTTTCCTCGAACCCATTACCGACATGCCCCCTGAAAATTTGCCTGATATTTTGCGTAGTTAATTTTTTTTATGATACCCGGGAATTGTAAGTCAGTGCTTCATGCCTCTTGATTGTTCCTGGTACATGCTGAGCATCCTCTAGAAATTATGGAATTTTACCTTATTTCGATAGAAGTTTTGAGTGGTAGTGTTGCCACACTTAGAATTAGGGTGATTTTACTTGATTTCTTTCTTTCTTGACAATGCACTCGGTAAAGATTTTTTCACCGATCCCTCTTAAGAAAATAATTTGTGTGCAGACGTCTTGCTTGTTCTTAGTTTTTGGAGTTGGTTCCCCCAAAAAATGCAGAATATGCATTTTTAAGATCAAAAATAAAAAAATTATTAATAGTTACATTTTCGCGTTGATAAACTGGGAGGTGACAAAAACGTAATATTAGACCTTCGCAGTATGTGCTTGACGTTTCCACTAACATTCTTTTAATTCTAATTTGAATTCAACTGAGTTAATCCATTCATTTTAAAACACGATTTACTTTGAAGTGGTCAGCCAATTAGTGGCCTGTTTCAACTAAATGTTTAAATATGAAAACGGGAGGATGATGATTAGATAAGTTTCGGATTGATTCGACTAAAGTCCGCTTGAAAAAATGGCGGAAAAAAATTAAAAAGAATTTGAGGGTGCCCTAGAGAGGGAAAAATGTAAGATGTCTACGCTCTCCCATTTAAAAGGAAATTTTTTGAATGAAGACGCGTTTGATGGCATGATGTTTACATTTTAGACAAATGAAACTTAAGATTTTAAACTTCCGTTGGGAAATTCGGTCTTACTATTGAAACTAATCCCCAGCTATAGAAAATTTTCGGCTCCGTCATTTACAATACTATTTTTCCGTAGTTTGGAGTGTTTTATTCGATGCGAGAGCCATTAAAAGTGAGCTGCCTCTATAGCTTCCATTAGCTGCCATTGGAAGTGATGCAAAAATTGCGCGACAGAGCTAAAAATGTTACAAAATTAAAAGCATTCACCTTTTTTTACGCCAGAGAAGCTGTGGTGAGCCCCTCAGTTCGTCAATTACGTGACTTCTGAGTGTTTTGATTTCTGAATAGTAAACGACTTGCTTTTCATCGGTTAGACTTATATTCTTGACAGAATTTCTTCAGCATTTATATGAGCCAATATACGCGATTAGGTCCATAACTGCGGGCCGATTATTGAAAGTGATGGACACAGCTATAGACAAAGACAATTTATAAGGAGTATGGAACGATCCTATTGGTTGAAATGGGTGGCTCTTATATACAAAGGGAGAAAATGATAGACTAACTGTCGAGTCTTTCGTGGGTTGTCGTCAGTTAGTCGAATTTCTACATCCTCTGTCCATTAAAACCACCTGCTTCCACCAATAGGATCCCTCCATATCTCTTTTGTTTCCTTTGTCTATAGCTTTGTCCATCGATTTCAATAATCGGCCCGCTGACGAGAACGACATCATTCATTAGCCCCAGTCTCAGAAGTTTCGTACAACTTTGATTTCTTTAAGTTATAGCTCAAAATGCGGTAAACCAGTATTATGAGAATGAGGCACATATCTACACATAAAACCAAAGGTAATAATGAAGATTCTCTCATTTCCGAAAGTGTAATTCCGAACAACATGGCAAGAGAGAATTCTAGGATATTACAGCCCGCAAGACCTCAACTTAAAAATACTTTTTTATTGCGAATCAAGTGCGTGCACACAAAGTCCCTGGCGTTTTTCTGGTTAAAAGTGTGCTTGAAACGCGTTCACCTCATATAAAACAGGCCTTTGACGAAACCTTCGTCTGCAGTTCCGTCAGAGCAGCGTACTCTGATAGTACGCAAGTTGGAGCTGCGTTACTGATTAGTTCCCCGGTGACTCAGGTGTAACAACTTTCGGAAAATGAGTCGGAATTTGACAATACTGCTGGCAGCGTTGTCAGTGGTTGCAGGTGTGCCAGACTACACGCCAAAGGAAGAGTGGTGGCAGCACTGCATTTTCTATCAGATCTACCCGCAGTCCTTTTATGATTCAAACGGTGATGGAATTGGTGATTTGAAAGGTAAATTTCTCGAGAGATATCTCTCTAAAACTAATTAAAAATGCAAGTACCGCCCCTATTGTGATTACTTTGGTTTTTAAAAGAGAGATGCTGTCACCTGAAGACTCGACTTAATGGGCCTGTTGCAAACTTTTGCTAGAGCAGAATGAAGAGTTGTTTCCTATAGATAATGCCTCAAAAATCACGATGAGCGCATCGGCAAAGTCTGAAATGCACTCATAACTTCACAATCTGCGTAAGAAATTTGCGTTATTTTGAGCTTCCCGCTTCAAAAACGATACTACTGCACAGGTGAACATTTTGTTAGAGGAGTCGCTCCATCGTCGGCAATATTCATCATGGCCGACGCTTGCGCAGTTCCTCGCGTAATTCGAGGAGAGTTCAAGGTCAGTTAAGGCGGGCGAGGAAAATATGAACGTAAACACGCCGATTGTTATATGGTTTAATCCTGTTCAAGTGTTATCTCGTCCCATCACACGTGTTTTGGCGGACTGGCGTCGGCCATGATGAGTATTGTCGCCAATGGAACGACTCCTCTAACAAAATGTTCACCTGTACCGTAGTATCGTTTTCGAAGCGGGAAGCTCAAAAAACCGCAAATTTCTTACGCAGATTGTGAAGTTATGAGTGCATTTCAGACTTTGCCGATGCGCTCATCGTGATTTTTGAGGCATTATCTGTAGGAAACAACTCTTAGTTTTGCTCTAGCAAAAGTTTGCAACAGGCCCATTATTGCTTGTGAAAAAATGAACATCTGACATCTAAAATGAATTAATAGCGTTGCATCACGAGCATTGTGTTATTGTTATCCGCAGTTCCATCCACAAATCACATTTTCCAGAATTAATACATAAGTCTTTGGGACTAAATAGTAATTAAGCACTTTGCAGTATTGTCTAAAACCCGAAAGCAACCCTCTCGCCTCCCTCTATCCACCTTCTCTCTCTTCCTCATCAGCAGTGTTGTCTCTAATGTACATCCGTAGAAAAATTTTAATTACATAAAAATAACGAAATTTGAAATTATATGCATTGTAAATTGTTTTCTATTCAAAATTTTGTAACTGGTAACTTTTTTATGTCTGTTAGTTACAAATTATTCCAATTTTCAAATGCAAATGTTTTCTGTTATCCAAGCACTTCACTCGTGATAAAAAGGGCATACCTACTTTCTAATGAATTAGATCGAATTTGGAGGAAAATTAGCTACATCTTGTCAATAAGCGTTACTAATAAAATTTTTATTATCAACTCAACAGGAATCACGTCCAAAGTCGGGTATCTTCAGGAGCTGAATGTGTGCGCAGTGTGGTTAAACCCGATATATCCCTCTCCTTGGAAAGAAAATGGTTATGATATAAGCAATTACGTGGATATTCATCCAAAACTCGGGACCATCTACGACTTTGATGCACTCGTCTCAAACTTGAATAATGGTAAACTAATACAATACTTACATATTTGTTTCAGTAGGCTGTCCAAAGTTAGAGACTTTTAGAAGATAAGTTCTCACTTATTCAAATATTTAAGAGATCCAAGTAAGTTCCATTTCAAAAACAATAATCTGTCATTTTACTGGAATATTCTGAATTTTGGCTTTGCTGGAGAGTGGGTTTTTATTTATTTTGATTATTAATATTTTAGGCTTGGTTCCTTATATTTTCTCTTGTTCTGCACATTTTGTGTTTTCTGTTAGTTTTGGATTTCCTTTTTGGCTGGGTTTTTTAATTTTGGGTTGATTTAACTTTAATAATAAGTGTTTTTCTCATTTAGTTCCTTTGGGTACTCCTTTAATTTTAATCTCTTTTATAGTATTAATCGAGACTGTGAGAAGGTTAATTCGGCCCTGGTCACTGAGAATTCGGTTAATGTCTAATATAATTTCAGGACATTTGTTAATAGTTCTTTTAGGAAACTGCGGGTTTTATCTGTTTCTGGTTCAGTTAATTTTGTTTCTTTTTGAGTTTTTTGTTTGTTTTATTCAAGCTTTTGTATTTTCCGTTTTATTAACTCTTTATTCTAGTGAAATTTAAAGTTTAGTCTATCTTAGTTTATCTCGTCTTATCTTATTTATTTTGAATGATCAAATTCTATTTTATTTAGTCTAAAACTTTAGTAAATGTATATTACTTTTAGAAGATAAGTTCTCACTTATTCAAATATTTAAGAGATCCAAGTAAGTTCCATTTCAAAAACAATAATCTGTCATTTTACTGGAATATTCTGAATTTTGGCTTTGCTGGAGAGTGGGTTTGGTTTTTTCTTTGTATTCGAGCCTCTTTGTCCTGCGTGGTGCATTTTATTTTTTATAAATACGCTGAGAATTGTAACGCTGGAAGTTTTAAGGTGATTCGATGGCCGCCATATTTTGTGTCAGAGCGACATGCGATGTATCGCATCGATTAGTTCCATTTTCTCAGCTACTTGTCATTTATTTCGAATATTGAGATCGCAATTCTATTGTCAGGAGACTGAAGAATTCGCTTACAAATTTTGACAAACGAATTCAACGTATTATAGGCGTGGTTTTTTGGAGGGAAAATCTCGCATTCGAGTGCAGTTTCAATATCAGTGTCGAATGCGATATTTTCCTTCTGAAAAAACCACGCCTTTATTAAATTGAATTTGTTGGTCAGAATTGGTAAGTGAATTCTGTAGTCTCCTAACAACAGCATTGCGATTTCAAAATTCGAAAAAAATGACAAGTAGCTGAGAAAATGGAACTAATCGATGCGATACATCGCATGTCGTTCTGACACAAAATAATGCGTCCATCGAATCACCTTAATCCCTAGTCTCAAATTGCACTCTTCTCAGAGTTTGATTTTACGAATCTTTCTTTTTTTTCCAGCAAAAATTATGACTGTGTTGGATTTTGTTCCAAACCACACTAGTGACCAGCATGTGTGGTTCCAGAGGTCTGTAAAGAATCAAGCGCCTTACAAGGATTACTACATCTGGAGGGATGCAAAAGGGATGGATGGTACGAGACCTATTCCTCCAAACGATTGGGTAAGATTCCTTCTTTTGTCAACGGACTGCACAGAGTAAAAAAAGGGAAAGTTGCTTTGAAAAGGAAAAGTTTTCAGCAGAAACCTATTATCAAGTTATTATTGTTTTGAGTACAATACCTTTACTCCGCTCCATTAACAGCACCTTCAGGCTGTACAGTAATACAATCATAATTGTTGGTATTATTTCAAAAGGAAGAACGGAGATTAGCTCTGTGTAATTTTCCTATAGGGTTTTTACCTAGAGCAATGGAAAGAATTCCGAGGTGAGGATGTTAAAAAACCGGAAGGAAACCTCATTTTCTAAAGTAATATAATGCAGAAAATTAAAGCACATATATTACATATTTATTGATCTTTTGATACACACATTTAAAGTTGGATCATTTCGTCGCCCTCAGACCTGATGTAAGAGCGTAACCACACTTTGCGTTGAACCCTGGCGTTCATGTAACTCAATGCTTCTTCGAGCTCATCTTCGAGTGTAGTTGCGGCCTACTGGCAGCCGATGAGTGACGATTTAAACCCTTCGTATCATGAATGATTGTGTTTCATTGAGCATGGACTTCGGATTACAAATGAGCTGCCACTGATGGTAATTGAAATCGCCACTTACAAACGCAAATTTTCTACTCTGATTGTAAAATTTAGTGCTAATGTTCAGACATTTTCAATGTGCCTGTCGTGATCTTAGAGCAAAAATCACACAGCAACCATTTTATTTTTCCTTGGTTTCTTGTGTAGGCATCAGTGTTTCAATCGGATAAGGCCGGCTCTGCATGGAAATGGAACGAAGACAGAAAACAGTTCTACTATCATGCGTTCATGGAAGAACAACCTGACCTCAATTTGCGGAATCCTTTGGTTGTGGAAGAGTTGAAGGTAAATCAATAAATAAATCATAAGTAACATAATACCGATTAGACGATAAAAATGTATGGGGTTGTCTCTAATCAAAGGGAATGCCTTTGAAACGTCTATTTTAAGAAATTGCGAATAGGTATGTCTATACAGATTTAGCTAAATCAAATGAAATCCTGCTTTCTTTACAATCTTTACCTTAAAGCTGCATAATCATTAAATTACTCAAACCTTACTCATGTGCTGATTGATCAAAGACGCATTCCTACCATACAAAGTTAACAAAACATGATTTGAGTCAATTATATAGCTATACCTCTTTGAATATATCTGTCAATCGTGCTTTTGTTGCGTTTAATGTGCGAAATTAATGTCGCCTACCAAATTTCAAACGTCTCTATCACATACGTAAAAAAATTAGTGACGCATATTGATAAAGGAAACCAAACACAAGGCTGTAAATAAGATGAACAATCTTTTAAAATGCACTTATATTGAGCCAAGAAAAAATAATTGCAGGATTAGCCTTTTATCATCTTTTTCATCCTATTTAATCCTAGGTGCAAAACATTTTAGTCGAAGTCTGTTTAATGTCTGTCTCTAACCTTTTTTTTTTTTTTTTTTTTTTTTTTTTTTTTTTTTTTTTTTTTTTTTTAATACTGCCTTTTTTCAACATTATTTTATTTAATGTCTCGGGCATCCTGCTTTCGCACAGCTAATAAATTACACATTCTTCCTTATAGAAGCTAAATATTCAGCTAAGCCTAAAAACTACTTCTTCGAATTAGGAAAATACCGATATCAATGTCTGAGGCCTTTTTCGCGTGTTTTTTCAGAACGTCCTCAGATTCTGGATGGACCGAGGGGCGAGGGGATTCCGCGTGGACGCTGTACCGCATCTTTTTGAGGATGAGCAACTCAGAGACGAAAACGGAAACGGCCATCAATACACACAGAACCTACCAGAGAACTACGATTTCGTTAGGGACATCCGCGTTTACGTTGATGAATATGGAAAGAAGAAAAGTGCCACTATGTACGTAAAATATACTTATATCAGACGGAGTTGCGATGGACTTACAGATTCCAAACTATTCATTCTAATTCTAGAGTATACCTCATTTGTGACTATGTTGGCAACCGGTGGTAATTTGCAAGCAACCAGTGAACATTGGAAAAAAAAACACATTGGATCTAGAGTCCAGACTCTTGAAAACATTGGCAAAAAAAAAATACTCTTGATTCAATCGGATTTTTTCTTGAATCAAAACGAAATCCGCTTAAATTAAGAGGCTTGGTTCTTGATTTAAGCTAGATTCTGATTGAATCAAGAGTACTTTTTCTTTTCGATGTTTTCAAGAGTCTGCACTCAAAATCCAATGTGTTTTTTTTTTCCCAGTGAATATCTCAAAACGTAAAAATTCAAAAATCTACGAACAATATTGAGTACTGATTATTTTGTCTTTATGTGAATAGTCACTTTTTCTTCCGTAAAAACGTGGTTGTCACAAGCACACGCTGGAGAGCGTGCAGAGAGATCAATGACATTTGTTAGGTTCAAATCGGACAGGCAACTAAACTAACTCCGTGACAAAGCGTTGAGTATCACAAAACATGAAGGCGTTCCAAGCCGAGATTATGTTTTTGAAGATGTAACCCGTCTAAGTTTCATATACACGCGTCGATGATCATTATTGCAGTTTATCGAAGCATGCATGTTCAGAACAGCAACAATTTTATTTTACAACTTGTAGGTAAATTGTATAACTAACCGATCGTTCAAATTGTCTTTATCCATACAGCTTTTTATCAGTCGAGGCGTATGCCGGCCCGTCGGAAACGATGCGATATTATGGTTCAGTATGGGAACCGGCTGCTCATTTCCCCTACAACTTTTTATTCTTGACTGATGTCGATGATCACACCAATGCGCCAGCCTTACATAAGGTCATCGTTGGATATCTGGCTAATTTAACGAGGGATCAATTTCCGAATTGGGTGGTAAGTTAAAAACATCGCATTTGTAAAGCCTATCATTTGTGCGTACCACGCATGAAAGAGTTATTGCGTATTATTGACATTTTGAGAATAACGCACTTCACTAATCACTTGTGAGGCTTAGATTTTTTTCATGAAGACTATTTTTTACCTATGTTGTTTTTTCGACGTGTCATTACAATTGAATTTTCCTGCCTTCTTGCCTTTTCTTTTCGACCCGACCCAGTCCGGACGAATCATCGCAAACTTAAATGCCCGCACATGAGCTTTGTTGAAGCTTTGCTCAGTGAGGTAGTGAGCCTTCATGGACACTTTCGCAACATGGGTTTAAAGGATTTTGATTTTTTCAAATGATGATTTTCATTGATATGGTCCAAAAATCTTCTGAGAAAAGATAAATTTTGCAATTTTTAGAAATTTTCAATCTTCACATTCTTTTTTAAGACCATTTTAATCGCAGGCATCCTCTTATCTTCTAATCATTTCTGGTTACGCCACGCTGCTGGCAACTTTTGTAACAAGATACTTTGCAGGAGAACGTATGACTCACTCTAAAAACAGATTTTTCCTAGAAATGAAATGCTTGGAATTTTTTTTTTCCCCTGCTTTTTTTTCTCTTGTTGAATATGGCGATACTTTGCTTTCCCCTGCTTTGCTAACAAACAATTGAAAAAAACTAAAATATGTATGTAAGACGGAAAAACCAACACAAAAGTTTTGTATATGAAACAAATTCTAGGTGGCGGTAGCTACCACGCCCCAATCCTATAAAACTCCCCCTAAAAGTTGACGACCAAAAAAAAAAAAGAAAAAAAAGAAAAGAAAAGAGAAAAATGAAACCGATAATAATAAAACAGTGGAAAAAGTGGGGAGAAAATTTACGTGCAGAATCTTCTTGAGGTTATTTATGGTTATTGAGTGGTGGTGAAATGTGTGAACCGCACTTGAAATTGTACAGCCATTGATCAACTTCAATGAAATAATTGACTGAAGAAATGGATTGTAACAAGATTCAGCTCTTTGTCACATAAAATTACGAGTATATGTTCATGCAGAATTGTTCTCGATTTTTCTTCTTTATAATTTTCTCTTTCAGACTGGGAACCATGATTGGCCTCGGATTCCCTCTCGTATGGGTGCATCAACGGCCGTTGATCAGCTCAACATGCTCGGTCTCCTACTTCCGGGTAGCTGCACCGTTTACATGGGCGATGAAATTGGCATGGATAGCTACTGGGGTATAGACAGAAGCAAGTGTCCTGATGGTTTCAAGGACGATTACCGCACACCCAACCGGACCCCCTTCCATTGGAACATCACCAAGAATGCAGGTAAGGGTTTTTTATACTAGTAATCTACCCGTGGATGAGCTATACTCTTCTGCAGATGAAAATTTTATTAAGAGTAATTTGAGAATGCCGCTGATATCGGTTTTATTAGATTTCTACTGGAATTTTTAAAATCTTAACTAATATTGGTTGAATTTCCACTGATACGAGCAGGGCCGGATTAAACATGGTGCATGAGAAGCGCGAGGGTTTTCAAACCCGGGCTGGTGTTCCGTCCTCCGTCCTCTCTTTTGCTCCCGTGCTGAGGAAAAACGTCGTATGAGCCATTAGGCGTTGCCAAATTTCCCCTGGCAAATCACTAATTTTCAGGAATTTTTTTGAATATTTTTCTACCGATGTCTCAGATAATTTTGTTTGTGATTTGATCTAATACGTCTGAAATTTTCAAAGAAAAATATTCATTATTTTCCTCAAAAATCAGCATTTTATTGAAGGAAATTTGGCAACTCTCGAATGTTCATACGGCGTTTTTCCTTAGCACGGCAGTTTAGAAGGGTGAGCGGCCCCAAAAGCCGAGTATTGAGATCACACCTGAGCGGGTCTAGACGCGTGGTTGAAAGTTTGATGAGAGTCGACCTTTACACCTATCTCCAAAACCCGTCTCAGTCAATCACCTTTTCTCGATTAGAAGTCTGCGGGCCGATTATTGAAATTGATAGACAAATCTATGGATAAAGGAGACAAAAGAGATAAGGAGCGATCCTATTGGTGGAAGCGGGTGGTTGCAATGGACAAAGGAGGTTGGCAGTAGACTAACTAATGGCAATCCACGAGAGACCCAATAGTTAGTCCATCATTTTCTCCCTTATTCTATAGGACTCATCCATTTCAGCCGATAGGATAGCTCCAAACTCCCTATGTCTTCTTTGTCTATCGCTTTGTCTATCAATCTCAATAATCAACCCGCTGGGAGGGTTCCGAGGGATCATACCATACTCTATAATTTAAAATCATAAGTGTAATTTATAACGCTTAACGCATGAGGCACGAAGCGCTTCATCGAAGTTGGTCCGCGAAGCGATTAGGGGGCTTACCCCTTAGTTTAGCAGATTTCTAACCGTTCCGAATTGATAAAAAAGGAAAGGACAAAAAACACCTTCACGCCAGAGGAAGTAACGAATCTTGATGCTAGAGTTCTTTGATTTGGATTTATATAATTCTAATAATTCACGTTATCCTCAGGTTTCACAAACAACAGACAGCCCTGGATCCCGATCAACCCGGAGTACTACTGCACAAACGTGGAGACGGAGACTAAATACAACAGTTACAACCGGCAGCAACCTAGCGCCTTGATGAATTTCAAGGAAATGACCAAACTGAAACGGTCCATGTATGATGATGCAATCACCAACGGGAAATTCCGCTCTCACGTGTTGAACGATCAGATGTATGCTTTTACCAGGTAAGACACCGAGTGAGCATTAAACTGAAGTTTTGTACACTAGCTTGTCCACTTCCTCAAATCAAACTTGAGAGCGAGAGCTATGTCATTGGAAAATCATCGATTTACACTGGAAAAAAACCCATTGGATCTAGAGTCCAGACTCTTGAAAACATTGACTAAAAAAATGCTCTTGATTCAATCGGATTTTTGCTTGAATCAAAAAGAAATCCGCTTAAATTAAGAGGCTTGGTTCTTGATTTAAGCTAGATTCTGTTTGAATCAAGAGTACTTTTTCTTGTCGATGTTTTTAAGAGTCTGGACTATAGATCCAATGCGTTTTTTCCAGTGTATAATATAAATTGTTTTTTGTGTCTAAAATGGTGACCAAGAGGTGAGGGTAGGAATCACTAGATGTACATGGTATATCACTGTTGGCTCTCTTGATTTAGTATGGTTTCAGGACATTTTGTCAACGATTTTTTGTCTGCGCATCTTTTTTGTCCAGTATTTTACGCCCACACGTAAAATAAGCAACAGTGACTTGGTTCAAGCGTTGTATTTTAGTCGGTATGTAAAATTATATTGACAATATGGAAATGAGAGATTGAGAGAGAAGGAGGTGTTGTTATATTTGCTCATTTTCTAAATAAAATGTTATTACTTTCTCCTTTTGAATCATCTTTTCAAATTGTCATTGGTGAATATTTGGTTTTATTTCTATCATTAAAATATTGAATGTACAATATACCTTATATATGTTTTGTGTAGGTACTTTTTTCATTTTTCTTTACAAAATTATTACTTCATTTTGAAAACATTTATACTTTTAAAACGTGACAAATATTTGAAAAACCTTTTCAAGCGACATTAATCTCAATGAGCCGCAGTTGTGCTGACAGAAACTGCAAAAATGAACAAAAGAGAGGAAAAACCAAGAAGCACGCAATCTTTAGTTTTAACCCATTTGTACATCGATCTTTTAGAGCCAAATACGTCAAATTTTGAGCGTTTCGTTGCGCGTACACCTTGCTGCAGCACAATAAAAGCACAACATGTAAAAGAAAAAATTAAAGTGATTTGGAAATCATTAAATTTGACACGGAACCACCAATATTTAAAAAACACACATTATATTATTATTATACTTTGATAAATTGATACATATTTTTTCCCCATCAATTTAAATGAGAATAATCAATGCAGAGTGGGCTAACATTTCAAAATCATGAGTTAAAATACGCTGACCATGCGAGTATAAATATTAAAGCCTAACAGAGCGGAGCGGCGCGGCGGCGTGCTGCCAGCACGAGAGGCTCACTGGCGCCTACAAACCTAAGTGGATACTTCACGCGTTGCACAATGCTTGAAGTATCCACTTAGGTTTGTAGGCGCCAATGCGCGTTCCGCGCTGGCCGCCCGCCCGCCGTGCGGCGGCGCCTGAAGCAACTATTTCACAACAGAGGTGTTGCACAGTATTATACGAAATTAAACGTATTAAGAATGACAGGTATCCTTTAAAAGTACAGATTTTTCTTCGCAAAATAAATCAAGATACTTATCGTACACAGGAAAAATTTAAGAGCCTTTAGCTGAGGCAAATAGAGGTTTATCCGGTTCAGGTTTAACAAGGTGGGAATTTCTTGAAAGATAATTAAGTCCTGTTACGCCCAAGTGTTGTACAGAGTTGTAATGAATTTTGTCTCATGGATTTGACGCTCCCCCATTTTTACCAAAACTCTCAACTGTATATTATTCTCCGTTGGACCAAAGAGACAAAACAAAAAAACAAGCAAACCCTCATTTTTCCAAAACATTATATATTTTCATCCAAAAACGTCATGAGCAATTGTCGTTTGTATTTACATGTGGGCCAATTAACTTTGGGTCTCAACTGGCACGTGGAGCAAAACTCCCGTGCCGAAAAAACGCGCGGACGTAAATTACTGGAAAGAACAGGTGCGCGGACAAAAAACCGTTGACGAAATGTCCTATAACCTTTAGTATGATTATTCCTTTGTTTATTTTTTATTTCTCAATGTTTAGTTGGCAATACTGTGGTATTGTCAACTAAATATTAACTACTAACTAATTCCCCATTCATAATGTGTGCGGGGTAAAAAAAAAGGAAACTTGTGGAGTTTTAGTGTGAATAAAAGAGGCGTTGAATTGTATGCAACGTGCGAATATAACAGTCAGTTTTTTAGAACATCTTTGCTTAAAGACCACGGAAAATTTGCCTTGTTAACATGATCAGAGGTTTGCCAAGAATCATGACAATGAAGGCTCTATGCGGGTAGCTTCTTTTAAAGGAAAATGACTTTTTCCATAGTTTGCCATTAGTTGAATTTACCTTCCCTTAACACGGAAAAAAGTATGATACTTTCAAGTATATTCTTGACTGATTTTGATGCCAGCGAGAAGTGTAGTCGCCCTAACCAGAGCTATGGTGGACTCAGATAAAAATGTGGTTGAATCAATCAGATCTCAAGCTGATGCTTCTGATCTGATTCTGCCTGGCGCTTAAATTAGGAATAAAATTTAAATTATCATTTTTCCCCGTTCATTTATGATAAAATTGGCTATTGTCCTCCGCAAAATAATCATTTTCGTTTCAGAACGGGCTCTCGGTTCACGTACCTTGTGCTGCTTAACCTGGGGAAACATTTCAGCGATTCCTTCAAATTAGCGAGCATGGTTCCAGAAGTCAACAGGTCGAACGCAAGATCACTCGTAGCCCGCAGCGCCAATTTGGGAGAAGAGTGTGCTCCGTAAGTAATATGAATCGAAACTTTAACCCCTTGAAAGGGCACTATCACTATGACTGTAGCATGTATACGGCCGTTTTTGATGCTATTTTACAACTATTAATCACTTAACTTTTCCACTGCCTGATCGGCTGAAGGAGCAAATCTTATACATATGCTAAAAGCAACGCATCGCCATGTTTGATAAAGTTTCGAAATCGTAAATCAAAAGCGCACGGGCTTTGCTCTTTTACACGGATTCGAAGTTCATGCATATACATGATGCATTCCGTCTATCGTTGGTGCATTGCATTAAAAATGAATGGTAAGATTCACCATCTAAAATCTAAAGTCGTGTCATTTAGCGATAATTAAGTTAATCGAAGTAGGATTTTATCAAGCAAAGTTCTTTCGGTTGCAATTATGCACAATTTATCACGGTCCCATACCCAACTTTTCAATGTCATACTTTCTCAGAATCAGAGATATTTTTAAAGAAGAGCTACTGAGGGGTCTTTCATAAAGTACGTAACGTTAAATTTTGGACATTTCGACCCCCCTCTGCCTCCTATTTTTGGTGACGTAGGGCCCTCCCTATCTTTCAACACGTGAAAAAAGGCGTTCTTTTCATTCCCTTTCCCTCGCTAAATTCCTATGTAATTTATGAGAAAGCCCTAAAATTTTTGAATTATTTTTCGTTAAATTTCTCTGACACTAGATAGAAAACCTAATATGAGGCCTTTCTATATTGTAAGGTACTAAAATAGTAGCGTTTGTGGGGTACATTCACTCATGCCATCTCTAAATGCATAAAATTCTGTTACAGAAACAATTGCTTTGATAGGATTTTCTCGGAAGATTGGAACATGCCTCCAAAATCAGGCCTAGTTGCAGCTTTCACCACCGTGCGAACAACTTTGTAAGTTCCAATTAAAAATTTGATTTGCAATATTTGTTATCACTACTATCGGCCATTTTCAAACTTACAACATTATACTTGGATTTTAATTTTTCTATACAGCGAAGACCAAATCACTCCGAGCATGTGGGGCGCTCAAAAAGGAGGAGTCTCCATTTATTTTCTCTCAGGAGCCAGACGGATTTTCAATTATTTTAAACTCCCAATAAGAAAAATTGTCTAGACTAGACGTTTGTTTGAATTTTTAAGGCACCTAACATTATCTTGAAAATGAGGCATCTTCGTGGAATCTGGTCCAACATATACCTATCACTGAATTTTTTTTTTTCCTGCTGGTTTAATGGCTTTGTGTCTAGCACCTTCAGCCAACTTTAGACAATGTTTAGTGTCCGTAGACATCGTGGGATCTCCATGCTCCAGGCTTTCCCAATTTTCAGGGATTAGGGCCGAGGAGAACCTGTCGTAGCAGATCTACTCGTCAATTCCGTGAAAATTAGACGCCACCACCGGGATTCGAACCCGGGACCTATTGACCTATAGTCAGACCCGCTGACCACTAAGCCAACCTGGCCGACACTGAATTGTTTAGAAAATTATGTGACCGCTATTTTCTCCCGACTTCATTTCCCCTGCCCCTCGATGCGCACTCTAACTCTCCCTATAAGCAACGTTAGCCATTTGTTGCTTCCAGATCCCAATACGCTACTCATTATAAACTTCATAGCTATTTTTGGATATTCCTGGTCGATATCGGGTGATAACGTCATCGAAGCACCTTTCGATGACGTCCATGGCGTCCTCTCATGACGTTATTCAGTCACAGGTCCATGACGTCATGGGGAAACCTATAAGCCCATGTCCCACGATCAAATGAACTCATCAAATTCTCATCAAATGCAAGATGGCGGAGATGCGTACTGGTTTTGGCGCAAGTCCGCTGTCAAAAGTTGGCGAGCCGTCAGATGTTGATGAACCCGCCGTCTTGCATTTAATGAGTTCATTTGATCGTTGGAAACGGGCTTAAGACGACGACTTTTGGACGCCCGTTGAAAATAGAATACATTCATGGTGCTTCCATACCTGAAATGTCATAATCCTTTTTTAGGTTAACATTTTTGTTACGTATAAACGTGATTTAGGAAATGCACAGTCAGCATTTTATTGATTTGCTGAGGCTCGTTTTAATAACTATCCCTTATTTTAATTGTTTTTTCGCCCTTTTTCGTAGACGTAGCAGAGACTTAGGAGAAAAACCTGAGCCGTACTGGATGGGCAGTAGATTAACCGGTAAATCCAATTAAAACTTCCGTTAATCCAAGCACACCAACACACGGCGACGATGTCAAGATAGAAGTATTGCTGCGCCATTCATTTGATCATGAAATAAGCCGAACCTTCCAGCAAACACGAGTGGCCCAAGTCCTAATTGCAGCCGGTGAATAGAAGTGATTCCATTGAGCTTGCTCTACATTTCAATTGAAATACAGTCCTTAGTCTACTCTACCGTACTAGGCAAGAGCATGCAATAAAAGCAATCGCAGTGTCTATAAGGATCTTCTACTATACACATTTTTCTCCAAAGGAACTCGCATTGTTATGTTAAAGTGCTCAGCACTTCTTCCATCTGATATCTGATATCTACCTGATATGGAAAACTGTACTAAGTTATGCCACTCTTGTTTAACACGGCACAGTAATGTTGCAAATATGTTCCCTCGCCTGAATAATGTTACTACAATTAAGCGCAAATATGTCCAACAATTGAAAATAAATAGCATCGTAAAAAGAATTATTTAGCGTTTTATCTTACCATTAATTTAATCGTTGCGTAGATCACCACATATTTTTACATCCCTTTTGACCTATGTTTAAAGAGAGTCTTTGGTCAGGAAAAAGAACCGACGGCGCACAGCAAATCGAGTGATTCAGAGAGGTCAAACGTGCATCTATTATACTATAAGCTCCAAGACCTCTTAATTTTGCGAAACTGGTGACGCTTAGTTCCAGCGTTCTACCGGGCCGATTTTCATGATTTTTGCGGCTATCGACGGGCAATTGTCTCTAGATAAGCCAACTCTTTTCAAATTTTCAAAATATGTCCCAGGTTTTTTTATATTACGTGGTAAAGTTGCGAATTCTCCCATTTAAACAATGTAAATTTGTACTTTTTGTCATAGTTCGTTTGAGCGTTCTACCGGGCCGATTTCCATGATTTTTGCGTAAATCGACAGGTAATTGGCCCTAGATGAGCCCGCTGTAATCAGATTTTGGAAAAAGGACCCAGGTTTTTTTAAAATCACGTTATGAAAGTGAGTGAGTTTACAGAATGCTCCGGTACTGCTACCGCTATGCGCGGGAGGATGCGCAGTGGTCAAGGATGTTGCGCAGTAGCTGTGCAGCCTGCGCATCAGCTCTACACTTATCTACACAAAATTCGCGCGGATAATTTCACGCTGAGCGGGTGGCTGAGCCGTTTAAGACGTCGATTGTGTCTACTTCAAAGTAGGTGTGGGTTCGATTCCCGACTCATGAAATCTTAATTATTACCTGACTATCATTGTTCATTGTTTTACTGCAATATTTCATCAAACAGTCATTCCAAAACGTGTCCTTTTAATTTTAAAGTAATTTTAAGTAAAGTTTAAAATTAAAGTATACCTCATATCGTAATTATTTAGGGGAAAAATAAAACTAACACTGATAGGAGGGTAAAAATAGGGCCGCGAAGCGGCTCATTGATGGCGCGGAGCGCCTTCAGGGGGTTGGGCCGCTAGCGGCCAGGGGGCGTAGCCCCCTAGTTTTTGACTAAAACTGCAAATTTTGAAGTTTATTTCGTCGCATTTTAAATTTTGAGGGGTGTTTACAGAAGAAAATTTTACGTAAAAAACAAAGGAGCCACTTTTCAAACCTCAAAATTTTGTAGAAATGGAGTTATAAGCTTTTGAAGTTTCCAAATTGTGTCCGACCTCTCATATCGACTCGATCCACTGTGCGGCGTTGGGGATCTTTACGGGGGACTAATAAGAGGGGCGGACGGGTCTGAGGAAACTAAAGGGTGAATACTCCCCAGAATTTGGCAAAAAGTGTGCCGTATGGACTCTCTACTAAAAAAATTAAGGGCTATCTTTGATTGGGGGAAATTATGAAAAATAAAAGTGTTTGCTGTAAAAATTAAGTCAAACTTCAGCATTTGTTTACAGTGCTCTTATCTCTCCCGACCATACCGCTATGAACCGTAAGGGTCAGGACGTTACGGTCCGAACATTTTGGAGGAAAACATGCTTCTGTTCAAAAAAAAAAGGAAGAAAATCACGTTGAAAAATGGATTGCATACTTCAATAACTATAAGCTAATACAGAAATTTATTTTTTAACCCTCTACCGAGTGGAATTTTTTTGTGACGCCACGCGATATTTATGAAAAAAATATATGTTACAGTAAGACGAAATTAAAAATATCTTTCTTTGAGCGTTTTTCGAAATTTTAATTTTTTCTTTAACTTTTGAAGCTTAAAAAAGCTCGTTGCCATACGGCAACAACATACAGTAATTTCTTGTCAGAGTGTCCACCAGTTTCCATATGAAAACAATATTCAGTACAGGAGTGGAATAGTGATGCTATGGCATAAATCTTATGAGGAACTTATGAAAAAAAAAAAAAAGCTAAGAGAAAAATTTTGTTTGACTCTTTTAAAATTACCAAATTCAAAAAGCGTCTAATGATGAATTGTAATCTCTATTTTTGGACAGCGGACCTGATTCATTTCTTGCTTCATTTTCAAGCTTTCCCATTGAGAAGTATGCCTCTCAGTAGAATTTGTTTTCTTCCTTTTTTTAATTCGTGTAAAATAAAGAGAACAAAATAAAATAACTTTTAAAATAGTTTATTGAAAATTATGGTACATCATGATCTTGAACAGCCCAGAGTGTATATTTTTGTTCAATTTCTTATTTTTGTGTGAAGCTGGTGCAAGAAAACTCAAAATTTGCCAAGACAGGACGATTCCATATTTCTCTTTTATAATTCGCGCTCCAGGGAAAGCCCTATTCTACATCTAAAGCGAATTGTGCGAGATAAATCCAAAATATTGCGGCACCACACAAGAGCATCTTTTCTGAAAATAAANGTTGAAAAATGGATTGCATACTTCAATAACTATAAGCTAATACAGAAATTTATTTTTTAACCCTCTACCGAGTGGAATTTTTTTGTGACGCCACGCGATATTTATGAAAAAAATATATGTTACAGTAAGACGAAATTAAAAATATCTTTCTTTGAGCGTTTTTCGAAATTTTAATTTTTTCTTTAACTTTTGAAGCTTAAAAAAGCTCGTTGCCATACGGCAACAACATACAGTAATTTCTTGTCAGAGTGTCCACCAGTTTCCATATGAAAACAATATTCAGTACAGGAGTGGAATAGTGATGCTATGGCATAAATCTTATGCGGAACTTATGAAAAAAAAAAAAAGCTAAGAGAAAAATTTTGTTTGACTCTTTTAAAATTACCAAATTCAAAAAGCGTCTAATGATGAATTGTAATCTCTATTTTTGGACTGCGGACCTGATTCATTTTTTGCTTCATTTTCAAGCTTTCTCATTGAGAAGTATGCCTCTCAGTAGAATTTGTTTTCTTCCTTTTTTTAATTCGTGTAAAATAAAGAGAACAAATTAAAATAACTTTTAAAATAGTTTATTGAAAATTATGGTACATCATCATGATCTTGAACAGCCCAGAGTGTATATTTTTGTTCAATTTCTTATTTTTTTGTAAAGCTGGTGCAAGAAAACTCAAAATTTGCCAAGACAGGACGATTCCATATTCCTCTTTTATACTTCGCGCTCCAGGGAAAGCCCTATTCTACATCTAAAGTGAATTGTGCGAGATAAATCCAAAATATTGCGGCACCACACAAGAGCATCTTTTCTGAAAATAAAAAAAAAAGAGTCGCTCAGATCTTTTTTTTTCTCGGCACTACAAAAAGTAATTATCATTACAGAAAATTCTCGTAAAAATAATTTAATTTTATCATGTATTCATAGGTTATTTAATGATTTTGGTAAAAATACGATTTTCCTTGTAACAATGATACTTTTGCCTCTGTGTGTTACTTAAAGTCTATGGTGCATTTCTACGGTTTTTTTTTTTTTTTTTTTTTTTTTTTTTAAAAAAAACAACGCATCTATAAATAGATATCAAGTTTCTCATTTTGATGAGAAAACTTCGAATGAGCCGTTGATTTTCCCTAGAAATAATTGGGGCGTGGACCACGATCGAAAAGGCGTCCTTGATTTTACGAATAATGTAGCGCAAGTTCGCTTGCGTCGTAGCCGCATGCCCGAGCCTCAATTTGGTTTTTACGACCTCTCCGATTGGCTGTAACTAGTGTCGCACCAAATAGCATTACTCCACAGAGGAATATCGACGACGAAATTGCAAAAATGCGTATCTCGTATTCGGAGTGTCGCAATCTCCGCTACTACTTTATTTTTCAGAAAGATACCGTACCAACATTTGTAGTATTCCTTACACAGAGAAGAAAAATCACTGAATTTTTCAAAAAAGATGACGTCTATTAGCTTTCCATTTGGAAAATGAAGTATGACAGGAAGTCGATCTGCAACGCCGCAAACCGAAACACGCATTTCTGCAGTTTCACCATAGATGCGTCTCCCTTTATCATGAGGCTATCGATTTTTCACTCCATGTCAACGCACGTTATAATGATCACCACTATTGTTTTCGGGGAAAATAATCAATGCAGCCTTGATGAGCACGATATTAATTATTGTAGGTATACCTGTATATAAATGTGATAGATTTAACTCAGGTTCCTTATATAAGGGCCTGCCTGAGTGTAAAAAGCTAGCTGGAAATGCAATTAGGGTTTCATGGAATCCATTTTCAGAGGTCTGAAATAAGATAATGGAAATGAATTTACGTATTGCTGTGGATGTATACATGATGAATTTGATGGAGTTTTTAGCATGAATTCCAGGAATCATCTTACTTTTTTCCCTTTAGTTTCTAATTTTTCGTAGAATCGAGTTTTCTTTTATAGAACGGGTGTACCCGTTGAAAATTCAATTTTTCGGAGAAATTAGTGTATGATTAATCAATGCACTCCATTTTTAAAATTAGTTAGTTTATTTTTTATCTGAATGGACGGGAACATTATTTAATTTTTGTATCGTTGGGTCTGCGCTCATTTAATTTTGGTCGCTGATACCTAACTATTTCACTTTCATATTTTAACAACTTTTTTTTCTTTTCAAGAATCGACTAATTAAAGAAATTCCTTTTTTTAGAGGCAAAAAACATGTGTTTTGGGGAAAATCCGATTACTCAAACTTACCCAAAACACATGTTGCTTTAATGCAAATTGACAGAAGAATTTCAGTCCACAATCAGTGAAATAAAGTGAAGTGTGTAATGTAGATGAGCTGCTCGTTTGAAAATTGTGCATTAGTTTTTACCAAAATAAAAAAAAAACAAAAAATCTCTGCTGCGACAGCAGCGATAAGCGCAATGGAAATGTGTACAACATTACTTTGAGGGGAGAGAAATGGGGGAGTTAAAAAATTGACTGATGTTGAATGTGACCTTCGGACGTTTGCCTGACGACGTTGCCACTGTGATAGAACATACCTACCTCTCCTCTTTTTGAGAAATCGCTGCCGCAAATTCTCAGAAATACTAACAAGTTACAAAATTCTTCTGAAAATTGTCTGCATTATTCTTTTCCTTAAATTTTCTCCTCTTGAAAAAAATTATTTAGTGTAGATAGATGCATGTATCTGCAAAAAGGTTCATGAGCTGTTTAAATGTTTAGCAAGTTTCATTTCATTTACGCCTACGACTTTTTTTTTATTATTTTCTTTATAAATGAAAAAATGCTCAAAACTTAGTATGTCATCATTTTCATTTTGGGAAAAATATGTGTTGATTTAATTTAACTAACTAACATAACTTTAAGAACAAGTCGAATGGTGTCACCTACAGTTTTTAGAGAAATCTGAGAATTCCGGTGATGCATGTAATTTGTCATACAGTATTGTGAGTGACATCGTCAATTTACCGTTGTCATTCTTGATACCGTTGTAAACGGCCATTAACAATGATCCGATTTGATGAAGTCAGAACCCCAATCAGAAGAGTTCAATCACTTGATCCAGGTAAACACAGCTTTGACTATGAACCTATATCAGCATGTTTGAATGTAGAAAGCAAAAC